CACCTCCCCAGCCTGTCAAGGTCCACATCATAGTTACCACATCTTTTAATTGAGCCATACTGGTTTAAAATAAAACAGACAACCATCCAAAAAGTATTTGGCTTTCAAGCAGACAAACAGCTAAATTAACATTAGTAAAAACTAATCTCCATTAATACAAAGGGGGTGACAAGTCGAGGGGGGCGTGTGCATCTTCAGCTTTCTTCCCCAGAAGATGAGGTCATCTAGAAAACAGATGATCTTTCAACTAGAAACAATACAGAAACACAGACAAAACTACTCAGCACCAAACAAAAAAAAGTCAAATTTGTGCACGAAACCAGTCGTGAGCATGAAAAAGAGGAGTTTCCATTTGTATGGGAGTGGCTGCAGTGGACATACTTACTCAAAAATGCTTACAAGTTGTTCACTTGGTGCATTTTTCAATCCAGCCACAATGTTCTGCAACCGACTCACGCTCTGTGTTGCGGAAGCAACTGGAGTGATGACAGCTTCCTTTTCTCGTAGGTACCTTCTTCCAGTCAGTGGAGTTGAAGGTGCAAATGACCTTTTCTGTCAGACAGAAAAATAATAAAAATCAGTCAACAGAACTGTTTCAAAAACCTTTGAATGAGCACCTCCTGCAAAATGACTCCAAAGATTAAAGGGCCACCACTTCCACGCTACCCGAAGGCTGCCATCAAACCTGTGATCTCAGAACTGACCAAAAAATTACTTTTCCCAGGACTCCATAAATACAAAATAGAACAAATCTTCAGGCAGACTAAAATTAACTCTAAGGTTTTTTTTAAAGGTAAAATATAGGAAAACGAGACTTTAAATCTTAAATCCATTATATTTTTAAGCTGAGTTAAACATTGAAAAATAAAGGGCAAGAAAGTGTTTGCTCCCATTCGCAGTCCCTGACCGCGCTAGTCAGGTGACACAAGGCCTACGTGGCAGAGCTGCCCAGGAGAGGGTCACAGGACAATGCTGCCTGGGTGGACACAGGGCCTCCCTTTACCCAGAGAATAAGGTAGCACTAAGCAGATGGAGCAGTTTCGATAGCTGGTTTTAGTCAGGACAGAGGTAATTTTCTTCCCAGCAGCTGGCAGGAGGCTGTTTTGGATGAGCCATGAGAAGAGCACTGGAAACACCAGTGGTTGTCGCTGGTGCTGGGGAGTGCTTGTACCAAGTCAAGGACTTTTCCAGTTTCTCATACTGCACCTGTGGTCCCCACTTTCTCACTACAAGCAGTGTGTGGGACACAGTTCAGACAGCCAACCTCATTTAACTGACGTGTAAAATCAAACAGCATGTGGTTCTTTCACACAGCCAGCACCGTTTCTCCCCTTATCCAAGTTTAAAAGGTAATTAATCAAGTGTTTCCCCATACAGCACCTTCATTAAACACATCTTATGGTTTTAAACATAGTGAAACATTAACTCTGTTTATAGGCCAATTTTGTAATTAAGAGTTAAGACTTCAGTAGGTTTTACATCTTGAATGTTATTTCTGACAGAGTAATACACAAGTTGACTTCTCCTGTCCTAAAAAGGAAATAACGGAAAACCAAAGAAATTAATCCAGCATAAAGGTTTCATGGTATTCTTAGGGGACATACAGGAAGCTTGAACAAAACTGTAAGACCTATTTAGATCTTAACTACTTACTAGTTTTTCTTGGACGAAAACTAGACTACACACACGGAAGTGCTCTCATCCTGTGCAAGGAACAGTTATGTACTGCATTCCACAGGAAAGCAGACATCACCTTTTCTCCTTAGCAAGACAGCACCCACTGAATGCCAGCTGCAGGCTTCATCACCTTCCTCACAGGAAGAGGTTCAGGAAATTCTGAGTCATTCCTGTGATTCCAATAGCGTACAAAGATAGAAGAAACTTGAAGGAGTACTGCAAGATCAACATGAACCACCTTTTCAAAATGCTGCTGAAGATGACACTCCACGTGAGCTCTTGCTGTAGTTTTCCCTACTGGCATGTCTGCAGGAAATTTTCGAGGAGTGCCAATTTCTTCTTCAGCATCAGCTCCTAGGAAAACTCTCTCGTCGAAGTCACCCACTGTCAGAACGTACTCTTCGTACTCTTTATTCAGTGCTTTGCTGAAAGAGAAGCCCAGGTTTTACATCAAAGGTTAAACTGCTGAAGAAACAAAGAAGTGCCAGTGGAGCTGAGGTACAAAACCAAACCCAGCACGTGTTCAAAGCATTTAATGCTTTCAGCAGCAGTGCTGCCTGTAAACGAAACTCTGCTGCCCCAAACCACCCATCCGTGGTCATCCCTGCCTTCCTTTGTACTTACAAACTCCCCTGTTCCCACGATGATTCGCTGTGGGGACCACTCTTTCTCTTAGGTTACATTTGGCTTGCAGTAAAAAGAGTAAAAGCCAACTTTGCTTCCATCACAGTTGTGAATGAAAGGGTTTGGAAGTACTCAAGTGGTCAGAGGCGAGACCTCTGTACACACAGAGCACCTTAACAGCTGCATTCACACCCCCACGTCTGATTTCTGCTTTTGTCACTCTGCAGCCCATAATTTTCAGGAGGGGACAGAGGAAGGGAAGTTCAAGAGCTAGCTGCATGGATTCAACTCCTAAAATCCCCACTGACATATGATACTGAATAAGTATTAATTTCCTTTATTCCAGCTAACCCAACTGTAATCCAGGAGTGTTTACTCTCACAAAGGCTGCAAAGCTTCACACTTGGGCAGCAGGATGAAACTTTCAGGTAACTGGAAACAGCTTGCAGTGCTAGACCCCGCCTGCACGTGAGTCCTGCATGAAGCATCTCATCTACGAAGGGTCTCGGCAATTCCAGCTACCACTGAAGCACGTGTATTAGTGCAACGTAATGCATTCACGATGCAAGTGATTCCGCAATCCCACAGGGAGCTTGGCTGTATCACAGGTTCACCTTCCCCGTGTCTCTGACAAAGCAAAGGGCTATGACAAGCCGGGACAAAGAAGCAGAGAGGTTTCCATCTGTCCCTTCGCTGCTGCCTACCCACAGAAGAACAGGGACTACCGCACCGTTCCACGTGACAGCGGTAAGAAAGGACCACTACTGATGGTTAAGCAGTAGTTCACTGCTTCAAAGGGACCTTAAGTTTAGGTATAAAACAGTGTTGCTACCTACTATTGTTGTTACAACTGAGTCTTTGCTCAAAATTCTGACCCCAAGTTAAAACTTCACCTTGCAAACTCAAGTTGTTAGGTATTTTTGGAAAAGGCAAAAAACCCTTCAAGGGATCCAGAACAAAGCAGCTGCTTTTCATATTTTGCATTTAAATTACCTTTCAGAAGTGATTTTGAGAGGATTCCAAAACAACTACACTTGCCTCCCACAGACACGCTCTACGGCTTTTTTGTGGTTTTGCAATTGTTGCCTTGTTTTTTTTTTTTTGAGTACTTCTGTTGCATTTGCAGGTTTATACACTCAACTGGAGACTGAGAAGTGATTCTGAAAGACTTCCCTACTAGGGTATAATATTTGAGGTGTGTACAGAAGTTCAGAGTCAAGGTCTTGCTTTGCATCAGGTTACTCCAAGGTTACAGTCGCCAGAAGATCAGGGCAAGCACCATAAATCCTGACATTAAAGAAGAAACTCTGCAGCTGACCCCCTGACATTTGACACATGTCAGATCCAGGAAGCATTCCAGCCAGAGAGCAGCTTTGAGTGTCAAACAATTAAAACCTGTTAGTTATGGTAAGATAAAGGAACAGGAAAACCTGAGATTCAGCATTCAAAGGCCTGCATTTCAGAAATTAAACCAAACCCCATGATTAAGAACATAAGCTGTAACTTACTTATTTTCTGTAAAATTGCAAAGATCCAACAGACATTCTCCTTTTAAGATCTAAGAATAAAAAGCAGAAATATCTTAGATAATAAAATCAGAACTGTTCCAACTCCAACAATGTGTGGGCATGACGGTTTCAGCCAAAAAGGAAATGGGATTAAGGAGCACAACTGGACTTTTTTTTTTTGCCTAGACCAAAGGACTACAATGCCATTAACAAGATAAACAGATGAGGACAAAGCCCAGTTCCATCCAAGCCCCAGACAAACTCACTCTTCAGAGACAGTACCGCTGTTTAACAGCTGTTCCATCGGTGGGTTAGCAACTGACTTGCTGAACTACACAGAAACTTACACGGAGCTTGGAAAAAAATTCCAGGATCAAAACAGACACAACAGTATGTACCCCTGCAACACCAACCTCTTCCTGCCAAAGCATTTTACTCAACTCCAAGACAAGCAGCAGGACCCACGCTATTGTTGACAGTTACCCCATAAAATTATTTCACAATGACATGTTTTCTTCAGGCAAAAAAGTTATCGTCCACGATTCAGCTTCACGCTGCCAAGGAAGGAAAGCAAAGACTCTCCACTGACGTAAAAAGCCAAAACACAGGGGACCTCACAGCATTCATCATTAAAAGTGAGAATAAATTCTGCTCCTGGTAAAATACATGCAAAGAAAACCTGACCCAGCCCAAGCTCATCTGCCTGTTGGTGCTCTTTCCTGCAGAACCTGTGGGGTTTAAATGGTCTGGAGATCCAAGCTCCACTGTACATTCTTAAAACTAGTAAAATGTACCTTCCTATCAAATAGTTTTGAAATGTATGGTTTAAAGTAGTGTTCCTTTACTCCTTTTGCTTCTACTAAAAGCCCGTCATGCAGCTCACATAGCGTGGCAATGATGCAGGGAGGATCTTCAGAGGCTTTGATCTCTGTCGCGTGGAAGTCCGCTGGTAAGCCTGAGAACAAGGGGGGACAGGAGGACAGAAAAGAAGACAACCAACCTTCAACTTCATTTAAAAAGAAACAAGAGAACACAGCATATTTCATTTTAAATAACCTGTCCCTGCCATACCTTTAAACGACGGGTTCAGCAAATCTCTTCTATTTGGACACAAAAGGGCATTTGCAAAAATCAGGTCCAAGCAGCACAGAAGCAAATGATAGGAATTTACTAAATCATCTCCAATCATACGGAAGTTACCTTGAAGAGACAGCACACCACATCAACAAACACTAAAGTAGTTCGGAAGTCGAACGCAAACAACCACGCAGCTAAAAAAGCAAGCCTACCCTTGGTGTACACAAAGAGAGTCCAGCAGAAGTTGAAGAGATCTTTAACGCCGCAGGGCACTCGCCTATCAACGAGGAAAGGGGGAGAAGCCAGTCTTCAGTTTCAGGAAGCTGAAGCTTGTTTTACAGTAAGAATTTCATTCCATTTCCTCGCTCGCAATATCAAAGCCATTGTCTGTCTTAATTTCACACTAAGGCACAGTCTAAGCTACAGGCCCTTATTTCAGC